TCATAACTATTTAGTGTACAATACCAGTCAATGTAATTAATTACTACCTCCCCCAACCCAGAAGTAGGCAGTTTTTACTTCTCAGCACTGTCACTATCTGTAAATATCTGTGTGTAAATATCTGGTTTTGTCTCAGTGACCCTGCTTTGCCCCACACTTTGGGATTTGAGCAGGTCGGGATTTATATTGTCTGGTATTGGTACATAGTTTACCATAATCAGAGGATATTATTGAAAGATTTCCCTACCAATTCACTGCCTTAAAAGCATTATATTATTTGCTCTGTGTGTGTGTTACTTTAAGTGTACTCTGGTTCCAGAGGCTCTTTGCGAGGCGAAAGAAACAAGATGCAAGAACGGAGAGCCTCTGGTCACATCAGGGCCGTATCACCAGGGGGCAGTAAGGCTTATATGCTGAAAAAAGTTCCAAATATCCAAAGAATAATTAATAATGACATTCTAAAAATTGTAAATATAGTTTTCTTTAGGAGGGCAGTTTCCCCCTCCTGCCGCCCCCTCCCCTGTGCTGTGTACAGCCCAGGGTCACTGTCCATTGCGAATCCCACTTCCACACTTGATTAGGTTCAGAATTTGAATTTCGCATGTGATTGCCCATTTGTAAAAATATGCCAAACTGGCTTGGGAAATAAACATTACTGTAAGCTAATTATAGCCTGTATTAAAATATTCTGTTAAACTCAACCAAGAATGTATTACATGTCCTGCAAAACTGATTAATGTTGATATGTTTATCTCCTGAGAAATTTAATACCTTTTCACCTGCGGGAGTATTAATATTAATGCTTGGTTGAGTTTACTATAATAGCTTGGGGCTTTTTAATTGGGGCTTCGGTGGCCAAGTGGTTAGCGCACTTGCCTGTCACCTCTGAGGCTGCAGGTTCAAGTCAGTGAGAACTTTCTCAATGCGACTCAAACCCAGTCTTCATGTGAAAAGAATAAACCGCAACGCTCTGCTGAACGTCACAGGTTTTCCCTGGGTACTCCAGTTTCCTCCCACATGGAAAGTTGACAGGGTGGGTTGGGTAAAAAGGGCTCACAGTAATTGGCATATGCTGTTGTGGTGACCCGGCCCTGGCAAAGCTAAATAGATAGATAGCTATAATTAGCTCACAGTAGTGTTTATTTCCCAAACAGGTTTGACATATTTTTACAAATGGCCAATCACATGTGAGATTCAAATTCTGAACCTATTCAAGTGTGGAAGTGGGATTTGCAATTGATGTGATCAGAGGCTTTCCATTCTCACCTCTTGTTTCTTTTACCTTGCAAAGAGCCTCTAGAACCAGGGTACACTTAAAAGTAACACACAGGCAGACCAAGTGCTGCAATTAAACTAAGGGCCTGTTTATATGCAGGAAGCCGGGCTGGCCTGCTTAGCGTGATAGGCAGGCGGGATGAATTTCTCTTGTGTTCATATCAGAAAATTTCATCCCGCTTGCTGGTTTTGACAGTTGTTCAAAATAGCTTGCGGCGGTATCTTTCATCCCAGCAACCGGGCTAGTCCGCTTGTGAGTGTTTATATGGAGAAATTTCCACCCCGGTAAGCGAGATCTCACCTCTTGTCAAGTGAGATCTGACCTCTTTTCAAGTGAGATCTCAGCAACCTGGCCAGCCCACTTGTCCAATAAATGCACAGCTTACCGGGCTGTCTCACTTAGCGGGCCAGCCTGGCTTCCATATAAACAGGCCCTAAGTACCAGTCAATATAAGTCCCCGCTTGCTTGAATCTAGGAAGTGTGGACTGTGGGGTTCATGGGGCAAAGCAGGGCCACTGAGACAAAGCCAGACATTTATACAATCCAGCAATTTTGATTATGCAGTGCTGGGAAATAAAAACTGCCTACTTCTGGGTTGGGGGAGGTGGTAATTTACATTGACTGGTATTGTACACTGAATAGTTATGGGGTGCCATGGCTGCCAGCTCTGTTGTCTTTACGACTGCTAATTCTAAACTGCAGTGATTCAAAACATTGTCCAAACTACATGTTCTGGAGATTATGAGTAATATTTTAACTTTGGCACACATTCATATTTTGGAACAACTCCAAGGACGCTGACTATAAATGTATCAAGATCTGTAAATATAAAATATAAATCTTACCTGCGATTTGCCTGCCTGCGAAAAGATTAATCACTTGAAACGTTTTCCGTGGTTGTGGACCTTCGTTCCACATCGAATGCATCCTGCCCAACATCAGCGATTGCCCAGTTTGTGAAGCAACAACGTTGGCAAATGTTGAAGCTCTTGGAAGGTCTTCGAAAGACAGCAAATATTAACGCTGATTGCCCCGGCGACTTGCTTTGAAAAGGACGAAAGCGACCAAGAAAGTGAGGCAGCCGATGACGATTGACGACGAACCAGAAGACGAAACCCTCGTGAACAGTTTGTTAGCAAGAATATTAAGCCCTTCGCGAAGGTCTGTCAAACAATCGCCAAACAATTTGCCAACCGGATATATACTAAGTACAGTAATGAGTAAAGTGATATTGTACCTGTCAGTCCTGGATCGTTGTGACGCATTTCCGATGCGAAAGGGAGAGATGAGATCAGATAGGTAATATTTAAAAACATGTCAGCTGTGGTGTGGGGAAAATAAGTTTAAACTGCCAAATCTACCAATTTTTTATGTGTGTGTAAAGATAGTGCAAGTGAGAGTCTGCTATTTTACGCGCGTCGAAACACTGTTATTCAAACATAAATATTTCGCGTTCTAGATCGAATTTAAAAAATACCCCAGAGGAAATTAAAGAAGAAAGCATGCTTTATCAGAATTTGTCAGTTTTGGCGAAAAAAAATTAATATCGAATGTCACCGAGGGCGTAGAACAAGGTGTTATTTTCTCACTCTTTTTGTTTACATGTTTCGAATTTCAGGCATTCTGATTGGTCAAGAACGCAAAATGTAAACAAACGCGCTGATTGGCTAACATTATTTGCCCTTGTTAGGTAGGGCCCAGATGGTAGGGCCGTTCCACCACAAGTCATTGCTTACAAGTTCTGATGGTAGACATCCTCTGGAACCAATGTCTGCAGGATTGGTCTTTCCGGCACAATGTCGCCAGTTTTCTGCATTTGTAAGTTTCAGGATTTCATCGATTCTGTTCTGAACAAATTGCTTGAATTCTCTATTCGATTGGATCCAATAGTAGACCGTGATGCTGTCTGTCCAACAGAAAATCTTTTCGATGTCAATGACTCCGCTGAGTGCTTCCTTGACTGTGGAAATCAGACGTGCAAGAATGAGTGCAGCGATCAGTTCAAGTCTCGGTATCGTTATAGGTGCCAAGGGTGCTACTCTGCTCTTCGAAGCCACAAGACTTGTCATGTAGCCATTCTCGGTTTCTACGCACAGATAAACGACCGCGCAGTAAGCTCCCTTTGACGCGTCGCCAAATCCATGAAGAGTGACTGATTCTATTCTCTTAGTCGCAGTTGGAAAGTAATAACGCTGAATTACAATTCGGTCAACTTTCTCTGCATCATCGAGCCATATCCGAAGAATTTTGGCACTTGATTGGGAAATAATACTGTCCCAGTCATATTTCTTGGCACATAAATCTTGCAGCAGCATACGAAGTTGCACTGTCGCTGGCGAGATCAAGCCCAAAGGATCAAACAATTTGGCGGCAACTTTCAAGACGTTCCGTTTTGTTGGTTCAAGACCTTTTCCAAGGTTAGAGATCTTGTTCAGTTTCAGAATAAATGTATCGTTTTTAAGGTTCCAGTTAAGTCCCAAAACTTTATGCTCCGTAGTAGGGTCAATTTCGTCCAGACCACCAACCGTGGTTTTGGCATAAGATTCGTCGTCCTTTGTGGCGATATCAGCTTTATTTACTCCTTCTCTTTGTTCTCTCTCTTGGGTAATCTTGTCGATGACTGCTTTGTTGTTCGATGCCCATTTTCGCAACTTTAAACCCCCTGAAGCAAAACACTCGTTAGTTTCACGATACAGTTCATACGCTCGATCTTCATCTTCTTCGCCTGATGTCCAGTCGTCCACGTACAAAGCATCTAACAGGGCCTTTGCCAAAGCTAGATCTTTACGGTAATATTCCGAAACGTGATGATGTAGCGTAGCATTTAATAGAAATGGGGAGCAGTTCATTCCAAAAATAACTCTCGCAAATCGATAAACTTCGACATTTGGGTCTTCGCTGTTGATGTCGTCCAGCCACAGAAATCGCATCAAATCTCTTTGTTTCTCGTCAATAGCTATGTTCAAAAAAGCCTTTTCGATGTCGGCAACTAGTCCTACTTTGTTTCGTCTGAAGCGTAGTAGTATGTCAAATATTCCTGGTGTTAATGACGGGCCAGTATAAATGCAATCGTTCAAGGAAGGATAATTCTTGCAGACCTTCGCACTGGCGTCAAATACAACTCTTGTCTTTGTGGTTAATGCATCTTTTCTGATGACCGCTTGATGCGGTAAGTAGTGTGTCTGTCCGACTTGATGCTCTTGCGATTCTTGAACTCTTTCAACTATTCCCTGGTGAAGCTGTTCTTCGATAATTCCGTTGTACTCTTGAAGGATTGGTTGGTCTTTACGCAGACGTTTAACCAAAGTGTTCAATCTCGCTAAGCTCAGGTCATAGTTGTCTGGTAAAAGTTCGTGTTGTTCCTTTAATGGTAAGCTAACAGAATATCTTCCATCTTCAAAGGTGACGTTCTTCAAAAACGATTCGTGGACTGTTTCTTTATCTCGTATACCAATGGACTCGATATCCCATAACTTGTGAAGTAATTCTTCAGCTGTGGGTTTCTCTTGGCAATTTCCGGCAATCTTTAGCACGTGTGCTGAAACAAAATTTACGTTAGACAGTTTCTGTTTCTTCGTAGTTGAAATTGGACCCGATAGTACCCATCCAAGACTTGTTTTGCTCGCCACTGGACCAATCTCTTGCTCTCCTCTCGCGATTTCTCCCGTGAAAAAGGACCACATATAATCCGCTCCGATCAGCAACTGAATTTCCATCTCTTCGTTACCATGGTTACTATCAGCTAAGTCGATTTTCTTCAGATGAGCATAACAACGTTTGGCTCGGTCGATTTCTTGATTAGAAATTGGCGCACAAATATCAGGCACAACATAGGCTTCCATTTTGGTCGAGAAACGTCCTCCAATATCTCCGACTGTGAATTGAACTTTGTCACAGGTTTCCTTGCGGTTGATCTCATCATTTCCGAACGTTTTTATGACCAAAGACTCCTTGGCGATTGTTGGTAATTTCAGTTGATCTCGCACACTTCTTTTAATAAAACTCTTCTGACTTCCCGAATCAAATATAACTCTAACACGAACCCCGGAATTTGACTCTCTTAATCCAACGAAAGCTTGTGCAGTTTGAAGTAGAATGGAGTTCTTTGAGCTAACGTAAAGTGTGCTGGACTGGTTGGACTTTTCTTCTGGCGATTTCCCAAGGTTGTCTCGTTTTTGTTGTTGTTCACTCTCGCATAAACTAACATGATGTTTTCTTGAGCACTTTTGACAAGTTGTTTTCGTTTGACAATCTCGGGCGATGTGGTTTCGTTTAAGGCATCTAAAACACCGTCCTTGTTTCATTAAAATCTGTTTTCTCGCTTCTACTGTTGCATTCTACTGTTGGGTGTGGCTGTTTACAATAGGTACAGTCAATTCGCGCTGCTTTTTCTTCTGCCAACAACGCTGCTAATGACGAAGGATCTTTTCGCTGATATTTTCTCTCGCGGTTTTCTGAAGGTGTCTCGATTGCTTTAATTCCCTCACATCGTTCTCGGTTCTTAATTTCTTCTTGTAGAAGGCGAAGTAACTCATCAAGTTTCCAATCTTTGTCTTCTTTAATCTGTCGCCCTAGCAATATTCGAATGTCCTCTGGAATTTTGGTCATCAATATAGGCACCAAAAGACTACCGTATGATTCAGTGGGAACTTCTAGAGCTTGTAGACCTCTTACATGTGTCTCAACTTTGTCGTACATTTGTCGTAGTTTCTTTACGTCATTCGAAACGTTCAATGATGTTATTTTTAACAAACTGTCCATATGACCGCTAATTATTACTTGTTTATTTCCAAAGCGCTCTTGTAATAATTTCACCGCTGTATCGTAGTTTTCTGCCGAAGGTTGTAGACCTGCGATTGTCAACGCTGCTGGACCTTTCAAGAGACTCTTGAGATAATTAAATTTGTCCACCTTAGACAGTTCATCGTTCTTATTAACAGCGCTTTCAAAACAATTCCAAAACGACAGCCATTGAGTTGGTTCTCCGTAAAATGTATTTAATACAAGTTTCGGTAGTTTTGCGTGTTTATTCTTCGATCCATTGCTTTGCGATAAACTCCCTGCTTCTCCGATTAAATTGTCTCCGTTGTTTTCTAGTTGTTGGTGTAATTTGCTCTTCGACAAAACGCTGTCGATCTCTACAATAGCTCCATAAATATTCTCGGTAAACTCTCCAGACTCTTCTATTTCGCTCGTAATTTCGCTGTCTTCAATAACTTCGAGTATTTCTTCGTCTAAAGTTTCAGTTTCTTTAATCTCTCTTCTAAGGAAATCTTGAGTTGTCTCAATCTGCTTTCATTCGACGAGTCATAATTCTGTATTACGCTTTTCACATTTCCTAATATTTTCGAAGCGTAAGCTCGGTGACCTTGGCGTATTTTCTTCTTTTTCGCAACGGTAGACATCTCTCAATCGTTTAATCCGACTCTCGAAGGACCATGTATAATATTTTCGACTAATCTGCTCTGTTAAATATCAAATTTATTATATTTACGCTATTGTTTACACCAAATCCCCATATTCTCGTCGCTCTTGTTTTTATATTAAATGTCAATCACGCTATAATTGTCTTTAGTGTCATTACTATAAATATCAATGTCAAATAGTTAATTTCCGGTTATATTAAAGTTTATAGTTTATCTACAATACTATAATTATACATTACTCTGATTCTCTGGCCTGGAAGTCCTCTAGAGGTTTGTCACGCCTAAGCCGCCTTTCATTTGCCAAGACGAAAATATTTCTTTCCTGCAAGCATGTTATTATGAAACTATATATGCTGTCATAGATAGTCGTAAATGTAGGTGCTGTCGAGGCCACCAGAGGGATGGAGGGAGCAATTTGCCCTGGGGCCCCAGTTAAAGGGGGGGGGGGGCGGTTCAAATAAGAAATTAAAGTGAAATTTTTTATCTGAGTTTATGTTAATTTGTGCACAGTCACGGTGATTGAGTTCATTGTATTTTCATATAATGAAGTAACCGCCCAATAGGGATAGCTGAGATGAAACGTGCAACCACGATGAATAATATTTAATGAAGTTGAGAGAAAGGATTTGTGCACGGTGAGATACAGTTCAACATCAAACAAAGCTCTTCTATTTTGTGGCTTGAAGTTTGCTGGGCTTCCAGACCATCATATCTTGACAGATTATGTACAAACGCAGATAAAAACATAACTTCCTGGCGGAGGTAATAATAGTGATGATTATTATATTCAAGCACGGACGCATACGGTGGCATAGGGTGAGACAGAAACGGTTTTTTTTAAGCATGCTTAAACATTTTGTGCGTATTCGGACGTACTGTATGGTGGGCATTTGAAGGGATTTTTGTGCATATGGAAATTTCATTAATTTTCATGCGCTTCTCATACGTTTCTCTCATACGCAATAGGGAGTTTAAGATCTTGACGACGAACTACCGACTACGTTTGAAATAGTTTTTGTTATATGTATGAAAATATTAAATTCTTGTCATAACAAATTTATCCCAAATATGTTTTATGTGCATGGCTTTGTGTTCGGCAAGTTTCATCTTTATATTTTCATCACTTCTTTATAAAAATACTCTCCAACCTGCAACGTTGCGTAGTCAGTTTCGGTGCTATGTTCTTGATTCTGTTTTACAACACAAGAATGTGATTTTTACGCTGTAGCCAAGGTCGCTACGGTGAAAAGTATGTTCTGGGGATATGTAAATGTTGTCTGCCATTGTTAAAGCCATGCGAAAACAAGCCTTCAACCGTACTCGTTGTTCGCATCTTAAACTCCCTATTAGAGTGGCCTTGACTCCCTATTAATAGCGTGGCCTTGATAGTGGTAAGAAGGATGAAAAGGGCAAATGATAGTCATTTGAATATAAAGGTGAACGTGTTTATTTTAGGGGATGTAGTAGAATATTAGATACGGGAAGAAGAAAGGATGGAATTAGCCTATCAGGAAGAAATGAAGATGGTAAAAAGTTGTACCAGCAATATTTTTAAGAAACTGGTCGATGGAAACGGGTGGAGTCGGTATAACAGAATACTTACCTTCTGCGTTGTAGTGACGCCATTCTTTTAGCACAACAGGATGTTGAGATATATTATATACAACAGATGCCGCCATTCCGCTGGCAAATGGCCGCCAAAGTTTTGTTTTCTCTTTACTTCCGTCGGCAAAATCCGACACTGCTTTAATTACAGCCCATTCTATGCCAAGATCACGAGCTGCTGCATATAGACCTGAAATTTAAAACGTGTGTTCATGTCATAGGCATAACGCTAACCCATTTTGCAGTAATAGCGCATCAAGCCCAATCATGTTTTGGGTTAAAAATTTCAGTTAATTTCTGTTCAGTATTAAAGACACTAGAAATCCCCCATTAAAGGGAAATGACAATATATTTTTTCTTTTCTCATTTGAAAAAACTTTTAGGACTATATGTAAAACATCTACCAATCAACATTTGATTAGCAACGAATACTTTTATGTGGTTGATCCCTGTTGTGACAGGAAGAGGTTATTTTGCTGGCCTCAGAGTGACAAAACGTAACACTAACCCTATTCCAAACACCTACTCTAATCCTAATCCTTGAGTACAAACTTGGACAAGGTCCTTGACCTAACCTAACCCTACTCTAAGTTTGTTTCTAAACCAATCTTAAAGAAAAAATTCAGCGAAACAACTTCTTCCGTTGTGACGTCACCAAAACTACCGTTAATGAGATCAAAAATGTATCCAAGAATAAGATGGCGGACATCTCATTATTTCAAGTGAAATTATTTCAAGAACTAAGCAAGATATGAACAATCGGTAAAAGAAGTTAATATATAGTTACAAAAGTTCTTTCAAATGAGAAAATAAAAATTTTATATGGAATTTGTTTTAACAGGTTGAAAGATTGATACACCATTCGAAGCCTAAAAGTCCAGACACACGCGATTCGACAACGCGACGCGATTTTTCGATTTTCACTGGCCGATTACTTTGGTCCTAGTTTGAATTTTCCAAATATTTAGAAGCGCTATAACATTTTGAGTCATTTGATCTACATATCTTTCAAAATTTGCTCTCATTTGCTGTTTTATTAACTTGCAAAAATAGGTACGCTGTGCGTACATGTTGCATGCCTTCTGAAACTTATGATGCGCTATAGCGCTTATAACCTTTGGTACAACTGGCGTGAAACTTAAAATATTGATTCAACAAGTTTAATAATATCAATGTATTTATTGAAAAATAGCTTTTATGTCAAAATAAGAAACTTAAGATTCTCATACGAATAGGTAATGTTTTTATGAGCGACCGTTCATCGTTAGTTGCAAGCGACGGTAATAACAAGGTCAAGGTCGGTCAAGGTTTTATCGAAAGCGATTGACTGGGTTAGCACTATTTTCCATCCAGCAAACTGACTGACGTCATTTTCGCAAGATGGAAGAGGTGTTATTAAATGGCTATGTAACTAATCCAAACCCTACCCCTACTCTAACCCCTAAACCTAACCTCAACCCTAACCCTAACCCTAACCCTAACCGAATTAATAAAAAAATCCAAAAAGAAACGACTTTACAAAATCGATAGGGAGGTTTGCTGGATGGAAAAAAGTGCTAACCGATTGACTGTTAGATTTCCTTTACAAATGTATAACTAAATAACGTTATTTCCTATAGATTTAGCTTTATTGTAACTTTTTAAAGGTATAAAAAACCGTGGAAACGGTGAATTACTATAATAGATTGAAAATTATTATTAATTAAACTATGATTGAAATTGTCGACATAGGCGTATGGGCTAACTATACCGTGCCCCCCAAACAAGATTAGGCCCATACGCCCATGATTGTCGAAGTAGAAAAAGCATAAAGGTACTATAGTCAGCTAATATGACCTGTATGGTCGTTTGAGTGATTGAGATGAGTTAAT